CGGGTTTTCATGGTGCTAAAGTGCTATAAGAGTTTATGTGTATTAATGTGTGTGTACACCCAGTCGTGGTGCAAACAAATTGAGCCTGAGGGCATGGTATCCGGAGTTCGTTTTTTGGTGTATACAACTTTTTCCTGCATCCATTTTAGTGTCTGAATATATATTGTATTTGTATGTTGGGTCTATTATTCACCTACAGTATCCACCGTTGTTTCTTTCCTTTTGCTTGATACTATAATTACATGTACCCATGGGCCCACCTCTCGTCACGCTACCAAAGGTTGAAGTATTAAAGTAAAAGTTGTTATAAGAGTGACAAGCCCTTAAAGGGTGGCAGCTTTTGTTGCCCGCTCTTATAGTGTATTATACACCATTCACAGGGAGATACAGTGTACACAATGATAGCAGAAGACAACTCTATAGGCAACAGAGGAGGTGGTTAAATCGAGCAGAGAGCAGCTAAGTACTGTTCTTTTTTTCTCTTTATTTTTAAATAGGTGTAGATCTATACACAGTCTGCACCCCACAACAACAACAACCATGAGAATGATATATGATATGTGATAACTGCAGGGAGACGTCGGTTATGGAGGGTACAGGCCTGACTAATCCAACGTTTAGGAAGTTGCTAACTGCCGTAAAGCATGAAGGCTGTTGCTGGTATTACCCTGACTGCATAGTCTAGGTGAAAGAGGCGATTGCAAGCCATAAGGGAACGAGTTCCATAGGGACGAAAATAGATGAAGCTGGAGCCCTGCTGGTTGCCAAACTAGAGCAAGTTGGGAAAAAGATCCTTGCTAAGACTGAGGAAGTAGCTGATAGAATGGAGGTGGTTGCTAAGAAGGGTTATGCTGAGGCATTAGCAGGGCCACGTGGGTGGCGGAGAGTAATGTAGGATCAGAACAGGTTCTACAGCAGCTAGGGACGCTGAAGACGTGTGTCGAAGAAATGGAAATTGACGGACCTACTGTTAGTAGAGGGGAGGAACAACGGGAACGTTTCCAGTGCAGGAACAATGTAATAGTTTTGGAGTCCCCGAGAGCCAGGCGGAGAAAACTGGGAGTAAGGTAACACACGTTAAGATGCAGTTTCGAAATATTTGTACTTTTACTTTTACTTTTATCCTCTTCGCCACTGATCGGCTTGTTAGCCGCTTGGGCGATAGGTCACGTCTCTGACTACTTTTCCTTTTCATTTATCTTCTTCACCAAAAGATGGCTCGCTAGCCGCCCGGGCGATCGGTCACGTCTCTGTCACGCACTGTTGGCAAATACTGGGCATGCACCGGCTCCTGAATGTACCTGAACCCGCTCCAGTGTTGGTCAAGTCTTGTCTTGAAAGAGCTCACACTCGGTGCCGTCACAACACTCTCTGGTAGATTGTTCCAAGAGTTTACAACCCTCACTCCAAAAAAGTTTGCCCTCACAGTTTTCTGGACTTGCGGCTTCTTCAATCTTGAGCTGTGACCCCTTGTGGGGCGAGCGTCCGCCAGCTCCAAGTAAGGACACTCAACTGAGTAGTGCCCCCTGAGATGCTTATGCACCTCAACTAGGTCACCCCTTGCCCGTCTGTAGTATAAGCTAGGCAAGTTCAGGCGCTCCAATCTCTCAGGGCAGCTGAGGTGCCGAAGTGCAGGCACCAGTCTGGTGGCCCTCCTTTGAACATTTTCAACCAACTGACAGTCCCTAGCATATCTCGGGGACCAGATGGGGTGACAGTACTCCAGATGGGGAAGCACTTCACTCTTGAAGATCGTTACGAGGGACGGACCGTCTAGATATCTGAACGACCTTCTTATAAGACCCAATAATTTATTTGCCTGATTTACCTTCTTCTCACAATGGCCCGAGAACTTCAGCTCATTGCCAACATACACACCTAGGTCCTTCTCACACATAGTCTCAACTAGTGCAGTTTCTTCATCCCGTTGGGACATATGATACGCCTCCTTACCGTTGGTACGCCCCAGGTGCATCCTCTTACACTTCGTGACATTTAATCTCAGCAGCCATTTCTTCGACCATTCCTGGAGCCCACAGAGGTCCTTCTGCAGCTCTTTACAGTCCGCTTGGTTCTTAATTTCCCGAAATAACTTGGCGTCATCGGCAAACATTTGTATGGAGGAGTGTACAACGTCAGGCATGTCATTTATGAAACAAAGAAACAACAGCGGGCCCAATACACTGCCTTGTGGTACCCCCACTTGTGACAGGTAATGATGACGATTTCGTACCATTAATCACCACACACTGCTTGCGGTCATTTAGAAAGTCTTCAATCCATGCTAGGATATTTCCCCGAATTCCGTACCCTTCCAGTTTGATTTTCAGCCTTTCGTGGGGTACACTGTCAAAAGCCTTGGCAAAATCTAGTTAAAAATTGTCGATATTACCACCCCGTTCCAGAATATGGGTCCAAATATCCAATACCTTGAGCAATTGTGTTAAGCAGGAATGCCCCGTCATAAAACCGTGTAGGTAATCTTTTACAAGGTTGTTTCGTATTAGATGTTCCATTGCGGCATCTCTGATAATACTCTCAAGTACTTTACATATTATGCTGGTCAGGCTCACTGGTCTATTGTTGTTCGTGGAGTGACAATCGCCCTTCTTGAAGATAGGACTCACATAAGCCACTGTCCATTCACTGGGGACCATTTGTTCATCCAGGTGTATAATATGGACACGAAGTAGTACCTTAAGCTGTGTATTCTTATATTACTCTATTAATTATGTATAGTAAAGTATTACAGAACATGTATTAATCCTATGTAATACTTCCATTTATTATGCACCATGTTATGTATATGAATTATCATATTTGCATTTTATGTATTCAGCTTGTGAATGCTGGCATCTGTATATGCCAGCGCGCAGTGATACAAGGAGTGGAGACCACCAGTCCTTATGGTGTGGAAGTGCTCTGTTTTATTAGTCCCTCTGTATATCTCCCGTACGAGAATAAGAACCTATTTTTAAGATAACAAGTGTTTGTGTGTACCCTCAGTAGTGTAGAACATTTTGGGGGTATCAAAGACAAACATAGACCAGGCATTTACAAAACAGGATCTTCAGGGGCTCTGCAAGCTCGTTGTACAACTCTCTTAGCACTCTAGGATGCACCATGTCAGGGCCGGGACTCTTATGGACCTTTAGCCTGGACAGTTTATTTCTAATACCCTCTTCTGTGAACACAATGTGGGTCAGTGCTGTGTCGAACCGTCTGTCCTCAAACGCAGGAAGGTTAGTTGGATCCTCTCTTGTGAACACTGAGGAAAAGAAGCTGTTTAATGCCTCAGCTTTATCCTGGTCAGAATCTGCGTAACTACCATCCACTAGCCTCAGGTCTGATACTCCTACTCGCGTTTTCAATTCAACTTTGCATTGCGGTAAAACGCCTTTGGGTTTGACTTGACCTCGCTTGCAACCAGCCTCTGGAACTCCTTTTCAGCCCTCCTACACTCTATCTTTGCTTGGTTTCTGGCTCTTGCATATATCCTCCTGTCTTGCTCATCGTTTGACCCAACCCACGTCTTGAATTTCTGGGTTTTCTTCTTAATTTTGTCGACCGCCGCATGGTTCATGTGTAGGGATCCCCTCGTATTCCTAGAAGCACTGGGTTTGGTCTTGGGTATATATTTATCGATCAAATGGGTCATTTTACTAGTTATGATATTCAGCGTAGTGTCTGCGTTCTTGTACCTTAATAAGTCAGGCCAGTTGATACCCCTCATCTCTTCCCTCATCCCATTGTAATTTCTCTTGTAATATTTGCACCTTGGCCTGGCCTTATCCTGAACTAGGTAACAGCTAAATCTGAATGACAACACTATATGGTGACTGGTGCCAACTGGGGCAAGGTGTTCCAGTTTGGCCACCATATCCTCCTCGTTTGTTATGATGAGGTCAAATGGCTTGGGCGTTTGCTCCCCCCTGTAATGTGTCGGGTGTCTCACATGTTGGAACAGAAAATTATCTCTCAGAGTTTCTAGAAAAAGAGTAGCAGGGTTATTCAAGTCATTCGGGGTGGACTCGTTTCTCCTCTCGATGTCGCCATAGTTAAAGTCCCGCATGATAAGGAGGTGGCTAGGGTTGAGCATCGCCGCGTTGTTTATTAAGGTTCTTAAGTTCCTTTGATTTAGTGGGCCACAGTTCGGGGATCTGTAGATACACCCGACGATAAGTAAGTCCCCTCCCTTTAATTTAATTTTACACCACTTGGACTCTTCAAAAACATCCTCTCCCTGTACCCTCGCCTGGCTGGCTCTAAGGTCTTGCCGAGCGTAGATAACCACACCCCTCTTGCAAGTTTCTTGAGAAAGGTTCGTAAATGAGTCATATCCAGCAATACCGAACTCACATTCCTCTGGGTCGATTCTCCTGTTCTTGTGCAACAGTTCTACAACTCCTACAATATCTGGTTGGTGTACTCTTAGTAGTGTTTCAAACTCCTCTCTCTTATCAAGGAACGTGTCAGTATTAGTGTACATGACATTCAAGGGATCACAGCTCAAGAATGAAGAAGCAGCAAGTCCAGAAAACTGTGAGGGCAAAGTTTTTCGGAGTGAGAGTTGTAAACTCTTGGAACAATCTGCCAGAAAGTGTTGTGGTGGCACCGAGTGTGAGCTCTTTCAAGACAAGACTTGACCAACACTGGAGCAGGTTCAGGTACATTCAGGAGCTGGTGCATGCCCAAGACTTGCCAACAATGCGTAACAGAGACGTGACCGATTGCCCAAGCGGCTAACGAGCCGATCATTGGTGAAGAGGATAAAAGGAATTTAACGTCCATTTCAATATTTCCTGGCAAGCTCAATCTCTGATTAGATTGTAAAAATAGATGTAAGAAATTCACCGTATGAATGACACTGAGTTTCATAGCCAAATGTAAGCAACTGATTTATATGGAAATTATTTTTTTGCGTGAATTGTCATTTCTGGCATGCCTGAGTTGCCAGCTAGCCCGTATATAAACGAGTGCCCGAGGAGGTAACACAAGAACCATGGCGGCCTTGCGGCTGGTGCAGAAATATGGTGTTCCCGTGGCCACAGCTGCCACCATTCCCATTCTTGCACCAGTTGTGTTTGCTGACTCGGGAAAAAAGGAGAGTTCGGCACCCACGTCCCGCATGGTTCGGCCATCAGAGCTACCGATTTATGAAGAACCAGAGGAAGTGCTCGACTTTGAATATCTTGGAAAGGAGAGGACAGCCTTGGAGGAGAATGTTGGTGTTGTGAGGAAGGAAATTGAGGGTGTGTTAGAAGCAACGCGTTCTGTTAGAGAAAGAACAGTCAACATCTATGAAACTGGCAAGGCCCACACCATGGCGACGGTGGACTACATAACAGATGAGGAGAACATGTTGCCTCGTGCTGGTGCCATCACTATTGGAGGCCTGGCCGGCCTGGTTGTTGGGGCGCTAACGTAAAATCAGACACATTTGTCTTTGAAAATGGAGTTCCACAAGGTAGCGTTTTGGGCCCAATTTTATTCCTTATAATGATTAATGATTTCCTATCACCAGCCCCCAGCTTAAGTGACCTCAAATTCTCCTTGTTTGCTGACGATTGCGCAATCTGGCGCTCCTCTCGAGCTGAGAGGCTATCTGCACAAAGGGTGCAGGCTGGCCTAAAAGCCGCGGAACAGTGGGCAATACAATGGGGATTTAGGTTTTCAGTTGAGAAGACAGTAGGAGTAGTCTTCACTAAGAAACGTAACATTAGTAATCCAGTATTAAAATTAAATGATACTCCTATTAAATTTCAGACTTCAGTAAAATTTCTTGGTGTTCATTTTGACCGGAAATTAACGTGGAAAAACCACATTAACGAACTTGAAAGTAAATGTCTTAAAGTCACAAACATCCTGAAAGTTTTATCAGGTACTACATGGGGAGCCGATAGGAAATCTTTATTAATGGTGTATAAGACCCTGATCAGATCAAAACTTGATTATGGATGCCAGTTGTATGCTTCGGCATGCAACACCACACTCGCAAAGCTAACCAGAATACAGAACCGATGCCTTCGTCTATGTCTGGGTGCCTACAGGTGTACACGTGTAGGTAAACTAGAGGTTGAGGCCCACGTCCCTCCACTTCACATCAGGAGGGACATGTTGACGCTAAGGTACGGGTTGAGTACGGCTAGGAAGCGCGGCACAGACCACCCAGGTTGGTGTGCTGTTGCTAAATTCCGTTTCCTGCAGCTGCGTAGGTCCCCGTCCTCGGTTGTCCGCCTCCAGACCTTGTGCCAGGGTGCTGGTATCCATTTCGAAGACGTTGATAGATACGTTCCACCGTTGTGTCCGCCATGGGAGAACCCCAACTTCCATGTGGAAACATCGTGGCTTCCGGGAGCGAAGAATGACTTTCATCCTGAGCTCCTGAGGCAACTTTTCTATCAATTTCTTGAAGGATTCAGCGCCTATACTCACGTGTACACCGACGGGTCCAAGACTGAAGACAACGTCGGAGCCGGTATCTGGAGCAGAGACGGGGAGTGGAGCTCCCGCCTGCCGCGGCATACAACCATATTCTCTGCAGAAATGTTCGCAATAAGTAAAGCCATTGACATTGCAATAACAAGCAATGTCAATGATGTCGCTGTAATTTCAGATTCCATGTCAGCTCTTAAAGCAATTCAAGGTGGTAATACTACCAGCAATGAGATACAGGGCAACATTATTAATAAATTACATGAGTGTGCCAAGAATATTGTGCTGGTGTGGGTGCCTGGGCATTGTAACATTTGGGGCAATGAACAGGCAGACAGATTAGCAAGAGCGACTGTGGGTCTCGGGGAGACAACCAATGTACCCTGGGAGACTCAGTCGTGTCTCTCCTTGGGGAAGACATATGCATTTGGAAAGTGGCAACTTGAATGGACTAGGTTGGATCTCCACAACACCTGGAAGACTAATATAGGAAACTGGCCCTCAGCATATAGAAAGAATAGGAGGGAAGAGGTCGTTCTCGCCAGACTAAGGCTGAACTGTACCTATCTGACCCACCTAGGGGCCTATCTTGACAATTCCTTCCCACCTATCTGTGCCACTTGTAACCTAATTCTCTCCATCAGACATATTCTGACTGAGTGCAGCCAGTACGAACCAGAGCGCCGGCAGCTGGTGATCCTAGCTGCCGAGCAAGGCTTCGTGCTGACTGTACCCAACCTATTGCAAGATAATGTCACCATAAGTGACGCAGTAATAACCTTCCTCAAGGAGACCCATCTTATCGGCATGTTATGATTGACACACGCATGAACTCTTTTTATATCTATTATATGTATGTAACCATGCCTTAAAAAATTAAAAAAAATAAAAATGAATAAAACAAAAATTAAAACATACAACATGAGAAACACATCACAAACCTTATCATTACATACAACACTCACATTTATCAAGCTAAACTGACACCCACCAACATATATTCAAACAAAAAGACACGGGCTACAAAAGACAAAATAAAAATAAAAAATAAAATCACAGAGAAACTAGTCACCTGACAAGCCATTTCATCTGGTCTGTCACTAACTCACCATCATATCACTCATGCATACCATAATTCATCCCAAATAAAACAACAAGAAGAAAGAAGTAACCAAAATACCAAGAACAAGAAGAACACAAGAATAACAAGAAAAGAAGAAACAAGAACATCAGATTAGTTGTAGCAAGAAAGAAGACCAAGATTAGAAGAAGAAAGAAGACATCAGCTTCGGCCGAAATAGCCTAATGGCGAAGAGGCCAGTAATCCCCAACATCAGTCAGTCAGAGGTAACACTCTCCTTACGCTTCCTCATCGTATTTTCCAGGTGCAGAGTGGGTGTTAGCTGAATAACCGACAGCTACCAGGGAGCGGTGGCTGCATACTAGCTGGCTGTCCTGTAGGATGTCTTTAATTCAGCACGATTAAATTTAGCGAGTACCGCACCCTGGGAACTAATACGCCGTCTCTTAATTTACTTTAATATCCAAGGTTCTAGGCGTAACCGAACAAAAAAAAAGTGAAGTAAACCAAAAAGGGAATAAAAATAAATAAAGTAAACCTTTAAGAATTTAATTAAATTAAATAATAAAAATATTAAAGAGCCTCGTAGTCTGTCACAACAAATTGATTCACTATCGAAACCTTTAAGACACAAATGATACTAAACATCGAAACATCAAAAGAATAAAAATAAACATTGGATTACGTT